TGAAACTCTCATATATAGGTCTCTAAAATGCATTACTACATAACTGACTGGAAAACAAGATTAATTTCTAAACTAAAAGGGGGAAGACTCTTTTATACTATTTAAAATTTTGTTTGTTTGGGGTTTTTTTGGTTTTGTTTTTTTGCGTGCAGTCCAGTGTGATTTTACATTTTTTATGTAACTGGCTCATGGATCAGGCTAGCTGAAGGCTAATAACTGCTGCCCTAGTGTTATGTATAGGATGCATTCACTGTGTGTGGAACATCACAGGTAGTAGATAAGCTCATGAAGCAGATTCAACACAAGCTTTCATTTCTACAGTTTTGGTAGTGTTTGAAAAGGACTTGGGACATCAGAGACACGTAGCCCTGCCTCAGGGTGTGCCATAAACAGCAGAAGTTTGAGTTCCCTGGTTTCCCTGACTTCAGAGCTGGCCTACAGGGACTTCTCCCTGTAGTGATAAGATAAACCATCATCTTCGGTTGTGGACTCATCTGCAGTGACTACCAGCAAGGGCACTAATGAATGGCACTTTGATGGTGTGAAATCTATCAGTTGCATATAGTGCTGTTGTACTGTAATGAGTTCTAGCTACTGCTAGCCTGGGCCAAGCCTGGACTGGTGACCTGGCAAAGAAAAGTCTCTGTAGCCCATTACCAATTCTGAAATAATTCAGGGCTTTGATAACTCTTGCATTCTTACTGGCAGCTCTCTGTTACTTTGTTCTCAGAGCTGCTGTGTCAGTGATTTCACCTTGAGTATACATTAAAGCCTCATGGGGATGCTGTTACATACAGGATTTGGAATTTAGGATTTGACTGAATCAGATCTGATGTTCTCAGTGTTTTCCCTGATGCTCAGGAGCTATTCTTTCCTGTCTCAGCCTTTTCCCTTTTTTAGAGGCTCCCGCTTAATGGGTCTTGGCTCAGGATTTCTTTTAATGTCTTGTGTTTTCTGTTTTTCCTATTAGTGTGTGATATATTCCTATCTTTCAGGTTTTGAATAAACAGCATGGCATTCTTTCAGTTTCATGCCTTTCATTTAGGGTAAGAGAAGTATATGCAGCAAGATGATTGAAAAATTCCAGCTTTGGACACAGCTCTTTTGCATGACATTTTTGTGGACTTTGAGTGCTGAAGGGATCTGTGCAATAATGAACTTCAGTTTCCTGGATTAGAGGTAAACAAATAAGTGACAGTGTTCAGTTTTCAAAAATGATCTGCAAATGGAAGCCAAAGCAGCTTCTCCTGAATGTGTAGACATGCCGCTTTAGTGCACATGCCATTCTCAGAGCCCAGCCAAGGAGCAGCACGAGTTTAATTAAACCCCTGGGTCATTTGTTGCTGTTCAAAATTCTGTGGGTTATAGTGAGATTTACACCACCCTGGCACAGCTGTTACTTCAGGATGTATATGAACGACCCCTTGGTAATTTGAAGACCAAAGAGACAAGCTAGGAAGAGGGTTTGACTAACCAGGACCAACTGTCCTCATAGGTTTCATATCAACGTAGAAGGTGATGGCTGTGTCCTGTAACAGAAGCCTTTCCCTATTAGATCTGGAGGGATTCCACCCATGCAATGGGTTCTGTCCATTCAAGAAGAATGGAGAAGGGATTGCAGTGAATTCAGAGTGTGAATAGATTTCATCTCTATCACATGCTCTCAAGCCACAGATTGATGCTGAAGATGGTGGGACCAAGGATTTTTACTCTTTTGGAAAACTAAGTACCAACGCACTCTGCTTTTTCATATGAACATTTAATGGTTAAAGTTTGGAGGTTTCTTCAGTGTCACGCTGTCATGTTGTAACAAGAGGAAGAACATGACCTATCAGTGTATGCTGGCAGCCCAGAAACCACCCATGTCCTGGCCTGCATCATCAGCAAGATAAGCAGCAGGTCAAGGTAGGGGATTCTCCCCCTCTGCTGCACTCTGGGAAGAACCCCCCTGCAGTCCTGCATCCAGCTCTGGGGAAACAACACAAGAGGGATGTGGAGCTGTTGGAGCAAGTCCAGAGGAGGCCGTGGAGATGCTGTGAGGGCTGGAGCAGCTCTGCTCTGGAGACAGGCTGGGAGAGCTGGGCTGGTTCAGCCTGGGGAAGAGAAGGATCCTTAAGGGGAGACCTCAGAGCAGCTCCCAGTGCCTAAAGGGGCTACAGGAAAGCCGGAGAGGGGCTTTGGACAAAGGCCTGTAGGGACAGGACAAGGGGAATGGCTTTAACCTGACAGAGGGGAGACTGAGATGAGCTCTTGGGCAGAAGTTCTTCCCTGTGAGGTTGCCCAGAGAAGCTGTGGCTGCCCCATCTCTGGCAGTAATCCTGTGATTAAAAGAAGATGTTGCATGCAGAGTTAATAAGCTGTTTTAAAAGATCAAGTCTGGCATCCATTTATCACTCACTGATGGTTTGCTGAAGAAGGAAGTGCAGGACAGAATCAAATACCTGGTAACAGGGTAACTGGCAATGACTTCAGGCTGAACATTCAGCTTTGGAATTCTCTTTATCCCTTGTTGTTAGTGCTAAATCACTTAAAGACCAGATTCTCTTCCCTCTTTTTCGGAGTGTATGCTACATCTTTAGGCTCTTTCTTTATGTAAGGGAGGGAGTTGGCTGAAATTGCTGCCCAATCTACCTCAATCTACAATTTTTATTTTTTTCTTTTTGGTAATAGTTTTGTAAACGTTATCTGTCTTTTTTTGCTGTCTTTAGGAATACCATTGGTACATTTTATATATATTTTTAGAATTATTGAGAGACCTAATATAAGTAATCAGATAAAGGGGTTTTAATTCAAACTACCACTTTTTTTGTCAATGGAAAACATCATCAGTTCACTTCTACCAACAGCGGATGATAGCAGTCTTGAACAGCATTATCTGCTTGCACTGCAGTGTCAAACAAAGCTTTCTGCGTATTGCTTTTTTTTTGTGTTCTGAAGCTTCTGGAAGTGTTTTGAAGTTCTCTTAGACATAAGATGATTGATCCTCATGAGTGCATTTTCAATATAACAATCAGTTGTCATTCAACTGTAAGAGACCCTGTTTAATATTTAATATTATCGAACATGTTTTTTTGCTGAACATGACAGGAGAGGATTTGGATTTGTTTCTAGCTGTGTTGGAGCATCAATTTAGTGTTTCTTCTTTACTGTTGAGAAACAAAGCCACGGAAGAAGCACATCTAAGGAAAACGGTCTTTTTTTCCAGGATAAAACACCCATTCACATTAATCCTTACAGTCAGTCTCTGCTGTGGCTTTGGTGAGTAGCACGACACAGTGGAGGAGGTTCACACAGCTGAATGGAACTGTGCAGAGGTGGTGATCCTGTGGTTTATTCCATCATTGTCCATGCCTGCTTCTCCCCACCCCACTGCCTTGCATTGTGTGCTTCTCAGCTCCAGCTTAGAAGCTGGCTGTTAACAGGCTGTTCTGGCATTTCATATTTGACATCTTGTCTGGAATCCCTTTCTAGCCATTCCCTGCTGTACTGTTTTGCCTCCTCCGGCACATGAGGATCCTAGAATCACAGACTGATTGGGGTTGGAAGGGACGTTAAAGTTCATCCCCTGCTACAGGCAGGGACACCTTCCACTAGACCAGGTTGCTCCAAGCCCCATCCAGCTTGGCCTTGAACACTGCCAGGGATGGGGCATCTTTGTTTATTTTGATGTAGAAATACTTAGCAGTTTGCTCAGCAGCATTAAAGGAAACTCAGTTCCCTAGGGCATGGTACGTAAGACAGTCAGGCTGATCTTGTGGTATCACCCACATAAGAGCTGATGAGATCACTGTTAGGGCTCTGCATTGACTGCAAGTTCATTTAAGTCGGAACATGTATTCTGTTCAAGTGCTGGCTGGAGATGAAAGTGAAGACTTTACAGAGGATTGGGTTCAGTTTTCAGCAGTATTGCATGTTGTGTGAAGAACAGGCAGAGTCTTACCGTGTCATAGGGAGTGTGTTGACTTAACTGTCACTACATGATTTTTCGTGTTTTCCTCAGGACAGTTTTGACTGGGCTGCTTGAAGAACAACTGGTTTAAGACTTTTTTTTTTTTTTTTCTTTTTTTGTAGAGTATCCTAAAGTGGGGATGTGCCACTTCGTGCCAGTCAAAGCCACCTCAAAGGCTCTCCCTTCTTCCTTCTTGCTCTGCCTCTAAGGCTCCAAATTAGACAATGTTTACTTCCCAGCTCCAGTATAAGATACAAGGATAAGAGGTCAAGGTTGTTAAAGAGCTTTCCATGGAGTGGATTTGTTTTATTGTCGTGGTTTAAGCCCAGCCAGTAACTCAGCACCACACAGCTGCTCACTCACTCCCCTGTTCTTCCTTTCCCAGTTCCGGGAGGGATGGGTGAGAGAATCAAAAGAATGTAACTCCCACGGGTTGAGATAAGAGCAGTCCAGTAACTAAGGTACAATACAAAACTGAAGCCCAACCTGAGCAGTGATCTAGCCCTTCCGGTTAACTCCCCCCACTTTATATACTGGGCATGAAGTCCTGAAATACCCGTTTGGCTAATTTGGGTCAGGTGTCCTGTCTCTGCTTCCTCCTGGCTTCCTGTGCCCCTCTTCCCTGGCAGAGCATGAGATTTAAAAGTTCTTCATCGGAATAAACATTACTTAGCAACAACTAAAAACATCGGTATTACCAGCGTTGTTCTCAGGCTAAAGAAATCAAAAACACAGCACTGCACCCGCTACTAGGAAGGAGAAAAATGACTGCTACAGCTGAACCTAGGAGATTTATATATTAATTATGCTTGATCAGATACTTGTTTATTCAGTATCTTTGCCTATTTATATTCAGGTAATAGCGGTAACAGTAACTTTTTTACTTTTTAGCTAAAATGGTCGTGTACCTTGGCTGGTGATCTTACTTCCTTTCCAAGATAGGAGAATGGGGTTTCAATCTGTCATGACTCAGTAAGAGAGCAATGTGGGTTAGATTCTGAAATGAGAAAAGTTACATCAAGGATTAATTGGACCCTGCTTTGCCCCTTAGGAGCACCCCTTACTTGGGCAGCCATTCTTTGTTCTACACCCTTGCCGGACTAATGAGTTCATCTCTTCCATACTGATCAGTTCACGGACATACAACAGGTGGGAAACACTTCTGTGCTTTGCAAGGCTTTATGCAGTGCAGGTAAAGTCAATTAGCTGGCAAGTCAAAATGGTCAAAACAACTTCCTTGGTCCATACAGAGTAAGATTCTATATTGTCACCTAAGGGCTGACAGTTAAAAAACTTTTGCTATAGATGACATGAAGGAATAACCTCATATCAAGTTATTGTGATAATGTTTATGGTGCTTTCTTGTTTGTTTTTTTTTTTCCCTAGACACACAAATTACATTATATTGTGGCTCAGTACTGTAGGCCCAGTTGTGGGTCTAAACCTGCCCCTGAGTTATGCAGCACTAGCACCTGAGCAGAATACAAATGCTGATTCGGTTGAAAGGTAAGAGAAAATCAAATCACCCTTTTTTTCTCTCATCCTCCTATGAAATTAAAAACATCAGACAAATAACTGGCAAAACCATTATGTTCTCCTTTGGAGCTCTTGGTTCAGGTCATTTAGGACTCACCTTATGATATTTTGCTTACATGCCCATGCACTGAAAGAGATGTGCTTGGCACACTGCTGATGCCCTTCATAACTGTCAGAAAGTCCTCGATGTCCTGAGTTCTTTCTCAGGTGTGTAAAAGCATTTTACAGGGGTCTCTCCAGCACATAGCACGTTTAGCATAATTCTGTACAATGATTTTAATTTGATTTATTTTTTTTATTTTCCTCCTGTTTGATGTCATCACTTCAGACCTCTGAGCTGATGACAAATGGTGGTTAGCTATAGCAAAGCTACTGCAGACTGTCCTAGGGCTGAAATCAAACAAAGGAGTCCTTCCTGAATGGTAAGCAGTGCAGAGTGGACGGATGACTGTCATGGCTCTTTTTTTCTGATGAGAACTTGCCTGGTTACAGTGGAAGACCTAAAAGCTGCTTGCAGTTGTGACAACTTTCAATCGCCAACAAGACCTGAACCCCTTGCAATTGCTTTGACCTCTTGCAATCATTTTATTATCATTAATGAAGACATTTCATTATCTCCTTCCTCTGTTTTTCTGTGGTTATGGCCTTGGTAAGACTGCACACAAACGTGCAAGCAAGCAAGAGCTGAAATGCTGAGTTTGGATCTACTAAATTTACCTGCTAAAAATCACATCTCTAGAAAATCTGCACCATCTGTGAGGATATGTACAGTAAAATACTTTAAGGATGTGGTTTATGATTTTGGTGGTCCATGTATGGACTGAGTCTGCTTCACCTAGGGACCACCTTCTCCACCACAACATGATGCATGGGTCACTGTCATGTTCCACACTACACACAGAGTATCCTAATCCCAGGACTGAATAATAGTTTTGTTTTGCTTTGTTGTTTTTTTTTTTTTGTTAGCATATTTTTTGTGTATTTTGTGTACATCGTGCTTCAGGGAACAAACAGCATCAGGATTGTAGACAAACAGAGTACATACAGTCTACATCTGATTAAACAGGTACAGTTCTAGAGTTCAAGGTGGCTGATACTGTTGCATGAGAACATCTTGACTTTTCCATGCTTCACTGCCTCCAAAGGAAGCTTGCCATGCTCTGTGGGAGTTGCTGTTGTAGTTAATTAGTATTTCTCATTGTATTGGTAGTTGTTCACAGGTTTAGTCCCTGTCGTGCAGTCTTTATGCAACCCTCCCCTGACAGCTGTTTACTTTTTGGGTAAGTAGGAATTGTATGGTAGTGCAATCAGTGAAAAAAAAAGATTAGAAGTAACTTCCACACAAGTCCTCTTGGATTCTTTCCCAATCCCATTTTATTTGTAGTATAAAACAGGCCACAAGTCCTGAGCAGTGGAGATGGAATTACACATTTTACTTTGTGTGTTCAGCAATATATCACTTGCATACAGAGTTCAACTGTGACAGAGCCACATCAGAGCTGGAAATGTGAAAGTCATTGGGTTTTGAATTCTGGGTTTTCATATATTTTGATTGGATGCATATTTTAAACTTACGTCATATGTTATTGGTGGATTGAAATACAGTGCAGTCCTTAAAATTCCATTGGTGCAGAATTGTTTTGCCAGCCATTCGGAATTAATAATGAAAGTGCATAATTTATCTCATTCTGGATCATAGCAACCTGCAAAGCTATTTTTCCGTGTAAGATTTATAAAATGAGGCCTTCCGTTCATGTACAATGCCAGCAGCCACACTGCTTTTTTTAACACACTTGGTAACATATGCTTGATAATTCCATCCATAGCCCATTTTCAACTTTAAGGAGACCTACACAGGAGTAAAAACAAAAAAAATGCCAGATAACAGCAGTTTTAAGAGCTGTTAAGTGTTCATCCTTGCAATGTGATCTTCATTTGTGATACAGTGTAACAAAGTAAAAGCAATCATCAGCCCTTCTCAGCTGCCCAGTATTGCAAATTATGTCTGTCAGCTCTTCCTGCTCTACCCAGCATATTGGCACACTCACACTGCGCTGGCTAGCACTGGGGACCTTTATTCCTGGTATAACTTAGAACTGGTAGCTTTATTTTAAGCAAGTTCTGAATTAGGTCCTCCTGACCTTAGGATCAGGTAAGTGGAAAGGATTGATGGAGCTGTTCCGTGTGAACTGTCACCACTGAATGCTGCCTCAGCGTATCCGAGGACCAGTTAAGCTTATTTTCCCAAAGCATCACAGATGTTACTGGATACTGCACTGAGGGTTGAATGTACAGAGCAAATTGCAGCTTAATATTCTCTTGTTGGTTTGTTGTGTGTTTTTTTTTTTTTTTTTTTTTTGGTGGTGGTGGGTTTGTTTGTTTGTTTTTCCCAAGAATTAGAAGAAAGTGGGATTTGTATGTAGGTATAAATAAATATTTTTCTTTTACATGGAGGAAGTCTCAGCACCCAGTACTTTCCACCTTAATTTATCATTTGTAAACAGAATCAAGAATTATTTCAACTGGGCATTGCACGCTGTACCACACTTAGGATTTCCTCTGTCAGAAACACCTCTAGGCACTTGTCCAGTGGATGGCTGCACACAGAGAGATACTGCTTTGTCACACTCTTAACTCCTCATCAGCCTCTGCCAGCAATCTGGATATCTTACAGCCATACATTCACTGGGCTGCACACTCAAGTTGTTCCCAGTTTCTGAAGTTGTCTCGGTTTTGCTTCCTTCCTGCTGATAATGCCCTTCCAAATTCCTCTTTGGTGCCTTGACCTTGTTCCCACAGTTACAGAGACACAATGGTGTCAGATAATGGGGATCATGAAATGGATAAGCAAACAGTTCCCCTGCCCTGCTACAAGTCTTAACCATTTAACACCATAAACAATGAAGTAACAGAGCAGTATCATCAGGAGGACCAGTGTTCCCCTGAAATTTGTCTAGAAATACCACTGGCCAAAAATTCAGCTCAGTTAGTACAAATACACTACACTTAGATTGAGAAACGAATGCAGGATAACATAAATATTTGTAATCAAGGGAGATATAGTCCTGTTTAGATATCTACTTTCTAATGGCTTAAGTGGGAGGTAGGCATCTAATTTCCCTTAATGCCTTAATGACGTATAGGATATTTTGTACAGAATGTTTATGTACGAAAATCCTATTTTATTTCAAAATCAAGTTAATTGCAGCACCATGTTGTAATTATATATTGCAAATCTACTGAAGATTCTTAGATCTGAACTTAGGTTTTTGGCTACATACATTATCTGAAATCTTGCAGTTTACCGAAAAGAAAATTTCCAGTTCCAAACAGTTTTGTAAATCTGTTTAGTCATTCATCCTTGCTAATCTGGAAATACTTATTGAGGACCATTGCTTCTGGGGACTTCTGCTTCTGAGAGCTTACACATGCCTGCCCTTGGGTACAAGAATCAGCAAGAGGAATGGATTTTATATGTTCACCTAAGCCAAAAATATGCTTTGCTTTGCAATATACTGCTACCTACATAATCCCTCATTTCTGCCAGCATGATCAGGTTAGAGTTTAACCCCCATCTGGTCTGCCAGAAGTTTTGCAGTTATTTGGTTTTGGTTACTGAAACAAATGTTCCTTTGGTCACATTGCATGCTTGTTTTCATAACAGTAAATGTTGAGCTAGTTGGTTAGAGCTGAATATAGTGAAGTAAACAGTGTAAGTTACATTAATTTCAGCAAAACTTTTTCAGTAGCTTTTTTTTGCCATTTGCCTTAATGAATTTGTTTGGACATTTATATCGCATAGTGTTTCACCTCCAGCACAAAGGAAAACTGATTGCTCTTTCCTCTGAACGAAAACTGATTGCTCTTCCCTCTGAACTGTGAGGTTAGTTATTTCCTCCAAAACACTCTCTTCTAGAGAACAGTATACGTATGAATATCTGTGTGTATTTTTGGTAACATGGGCTTTTAAAAGGGTTTCAAAGTGTTTAGAATGTTTAACAGTAAGTTCTTATGATTTAGAATTAAAAAAAAAAAAAATACATACCTGAACTTCAGAGCTGCAAAACAAGCTGTGTAGTGACTCCTCAGGACAAATTATGAAGGTGTCACATGTGTTACCTTTATGTTGGAGACTTCACTGGTCTTAAAACACACTGCACCACAAGGAAGCTTTTGCTTCACCGCTTGAGACCTTGCTGTAACTGTCACCTGGTGAAGATGAATTTCAGCTTAAGATGAGAGAGAAGTTTACTGCCGTGCATGAAAAGAGACTGGATTTGCAGAGCCTTGCATTGAACACCACCTTTTTCCTCAAGCCTGTTAGAAAACAGTGTGTTTTCCTATAGTTTTCCTTTCAGTAGTGTTGTTATTGCAGCATGCTGGAAGAGATAGCCCTGTCTAAAAAGACTGGGTTGTGTTCTTCTCTGCACTGCTGGGTTCAGCACATTAGCCTCATCAGCAGATGGAGGGAGATACTGTTCAGGTGCTTTCTTTCCCCACCTTTGTTGCTGCCGAGGATTAGGCTATAGATAGAGAAGGATCCCCTTAAGCAGATTTCACCAGTAGTCGTCTCCATCACCAGAAGCAATCCCTGATGTTGGGTCTGTCTCTTGGAATACATCACTTTCAAATGCAGAGGCTGGTCTTGATTTTTGCTTCTGAGCAAGCAACACGATGCCACTCCACCTTTAGGGGCAGGCAAGAGACCACAGCTGGAGAGAGCACAGGCTGAGCATTGGCTGGAGAAGATTTTGTCAGATAGTGAAAATGAACTCACCCTTCTTTCCTTTGCACCCGATTCAAATCAAAATCCTGAACTGAATTTTGGTGGATTCCAGCCAGGCCTCACTCTGCCAAGCACTGATTTCTTTCAAGGCTTTGTAAAGTTCATTCTTCTGCATCCACCAGTCACGTATTGTTGGCTTCATATGATTAGCCAGGTGCTTTAATATTTACTCTTATATGTTTGGTAATGAAGCAGAAACATGGACTACTGTATCTGGAGAGGGACTTTAGGGACAGGACAAGGGGGAATGGCTTTAACCTGACAGAGGGGAGACTGAGATGAGCTCTTAGGCAGAAGTTCTTCCCTGTGAGGGTGCTGAGGCCCTGGCACAGGTTGCCCAGAGAAGCTGTGGCTGCCCCATCCCTGGCAGTGCTCAAGGCCAGGTTGGACACAGGGGCTTGGATCAAGCTGCTCCAGTGGAAGGTGTCGCTGCCCATGGCAGGGGTTGGAACTGGATGAGCTGTAAGGTTCCTTCCAACCCAAACCAATCTGTGATTCTGTGATCCTATGATCTAATGCATGAGTTCACTGTTTTGTGGATTCCCCTCCATTAAAGAGGATTTGGGTTGTACCACACATAGTTCCAATGCTTCTTTATTAGGCTTAAAACCCCTCTAACAGTGACTTGGCGATGAGGTTTGTCTTGGCTCATCTTCCTTTATTTCCTCCTACCATGTCCAGATAACACCAACTATTCTTGGGCACTGACAGAATCTAGGACATGTTTGCTGGAACAATTCTGGTGCCCAGTTGTTGACTGGATGTGCTAAATGTGCTGCTAAAAAAGAATGGTAATAAAATGCAACTCAAAAGGTGCAACCAGCTTCAATAACTTGGGGCTTAACTTGTCCTGCTCCCAGTTCTGTGTGTTTTCTTACTCCTGTGCCTTCACTTTGATAGTCTCACTTCTGCTACATTGCAAGCAGTTAAAAACAAAACAAAAAAACCCAAAACCACAAACAAAACCCCTCCCCCAAAACAAAAAGCCCCAAGCCCCTGATTCAACCAAGTTAGACATGCTTGATGGAGCAGTAAGCACCTGTGTACTTCCATGTTTTTGATCTAACAGTATTTCAGGTGAATTTACTCCATAAAGCTCTTATCCTTATATGTCCTTCTGTTTAGGTTCACAAAGGCAGCAAGGCAGTAGGTGCCCCATTTTCTTAACAGAAACTCATTGAATCAGTTAAAAGCTGAATTTCCCTTTCCGAATATTTCCTTTGTTAAAAGTCCATGCGAGCCACTTTTCGCTTTCATGTTTCAGCTTTTCTTCTCGTTGTACTGATAGCAACATCTAGTGGCAAGATTTCCTCATTACAATGCCCTAGTTTTTTATCTGGTTCAGCTCCATTTACCTCCCTGTAAGTCTTCCATCTCATAGAATCACAGATTCATTTGGTTTGGAAGGGACCTTAAAGCTCATCCAGTCCCAACCCCCTGCCACGGGCAGGGACACCTTCCAATAGACCAGGTTGCTCCAAGCAAAATCAAATCTTTACTACCAGGCTGACTTTGGAATTTGAAAAGAATTGAACCGCAAGTACTTTGATACTTCTTTAAAAAAAAAAAAAAATTACTGACAGCGCTACTAATATATTTCACTACACAAGAAAAGCAAATTAAAATAACAATACCAAACAGACTCAGTTTGCTGAAATAACAAAACCGAATCTGCTAGTTTTCTTAGCTGAAGGAAGCATCTCCTGTAGAAAGCAAGCTGGAATCCTAGCACCAGCAGTTGTGTAGGACAACATTTGCATATGTGAGACCATTTCTAGATTAAACTGGCTGACTGGGAACTTTCTCCTCTTCTAGGAACTGGTGTCAGATCTGCAAGCTGTGAGTCACAGTTCAGTGCTTGGATTTGCTCTTCCAGTAGCTTCTAGTCTTAGAATCACAGAATCACAGCCTAGTTTGGGTTTTAAAGCTCATCCAGTTCAATCCCCTGCCATGGGCAGGGACACCTTTCCACTAGACCAGGTTGCTCCAAGCCCCTTCCAGCCTGGCCTTGAGCACTGCCAGGGATGGGGCAGCCACAGCTTCTGTGGGCGACCTGTGCCAGGGCCTCACCCCCCTCACACGGAAGAACTTCTGCCTAAGAGCTCATCTCAGTCTCCCCTCTGTCAGGTTAAAGCCATTCCCCTTGTCCTGTCCCTACAGGCCCTTGTCCAAAGCCCCTCTCCAGGTTTCTTGTGGCCCCTTTAGGCACTGGCAGCTGCTCTAAGGTCTCCCCTTAAGGATCCTTCTCTTCTCCAGGCTGAACCAGCCCAGCTCTCTCAGCCTGTCTCCAGAGCAGAGCTGCTCCAGCCCTCGCAGCATCTCCGTGGCCTCCTCTGGACTCACTCCAACAGCTCCACGTCCCTCTTGTGTTGTTGCCCCAGAGCTGGACACAGGACTGCAGGGGCAGGGGTCTCAAGAGTAAACTGTAATCTCTCTCTTGCTATAATCAAGAATCTCCCACCAGAAATAGTCATGTTCTTGCTGTTTTGCATGTGATTATCTGATTTATCTTGCACACTTACCTGCCATTGGTTTGATACTTATTATTAGTGAATAACAGCTGTACCGGTGGCAGCCAATGCTTTCAAACCTGGCTGTCCGCTTAACACTTTTCCTGCTCCTAAGTGAAGGCTGGATTTCAAGAGATTTCATTGTAGCATATGCATGTATCTCTACTGTGTGCTGCCTCTGGTTATTGCATTATCTATTCCAAGTTTCACAGAAGCATTAGGCAGAGCCACAGCGGACATGGCAATGACATACCTGGGATTTCTGGGCATACCATAAACATGGTTGAAGTGATTGTGCATAAACAGTAGGTTTGATTCAGTGAAGGTGTTAAGAAATACTGCGCAGATGCAGAAGATCCTTCAAAACCCATCCACGTAACATTTTTGGGTGAAGAGAATATATCCAGAACACACATATGGTTGCATGAGAGAAAAAAATTACCAGCAGTTAACCCTGCACTTACCAAGAAAACAGAAGGGGTATGAAACAAAAAGCATAGTAAAAATAGAAATGACAGGGGGTACCCCTAGCTGATGGCATGATCTCCCCAACCTCTTCACTTATCGTTTCATGTGCTAGTTGGTTGTTACACTGTGTCCAACAACAGTTGAGGAGTTAAGGCCATGAAAATCTTGAAGGGTATTCAGGTACTTAATTCTGGAAGCAAGTTTTCTAGAGTTACCCCATCACTGCATTGACATGGGTAAGGGAAATCAAAGTTCAACATTGCTACTGTGCCTGAACAAGGATTTGAATCCAAATCTTGCACATTAGTAAATGACTAAGTTACAAAATACCCCAGTAGTAGTGATTCTCAGTCTTCTTTTACACCATTTTCATACAAATTAAGAAATACTAATTGAAACAGAGCCTTTTGGATCAACACACAGATGAATTGATTATAATGGAATTGTTTACACCCTAACTTCAGCCAAATAAATATTTTGAGGTTTTCTTGCATAAGCCAGCTCTAACATGAAGCAAAGCAACACTGCTATAAGCTTTGTCCAAATATACTTTAAAGGGAACAAATTCAAGGTAAAATATGTAAGTGCAAGTGGTGTTAACAGAGTGGGAGATCTGGCAATGATTTAAAGGCTGACAGAGGGACATGTTGGCTTCTTGGCTGATGTTCTTCTCTGTAATGCTGTATCAGTTCTGACAACATTTTAAACGCATGTTGAAAAAGTGGACAGTACAGAGAAAATGATAGAAGATACAAATTTATAAAACACAACTTGATTATGGTACAGACATCTTCAAAAAGTTAAATCCACCTATTCAGAAATATTTTTAATCTAGCATAGAAAGCCAAAAAACCATACTCAAAAACATGTTCAAGTCAGTACATAGCCATTAAATGGTAACAGCTAGAACACACTAAGTCTTCAAATCAGGCAGGCTTGCTGAAGTCCAACTTGTAGGACTTTGAATTGCAAGTAACATGAAGGCACCTGGGTCAAGTTTTGTGGACCAAGCAGGACACATCAGATAAATGGTTTAATAATCCCTTCAGGACCTAAACCCCATCAATTGTGTGTCAGGTGCCATTGCTTATCTTCACACCAGAAACCAGAACTGCTGTTGTTTCAGTAAACACAATTTTCAGCATTTGCAGCTATTTTAGATACAAGGAAGGCTGACTTCTAGACTGCACATTAAAATCCACCCAGTTTCTCCTCCCAGCTTCCCCGAGGGAGTATTTTGATTCCTGATAAATAGTCCCAAAGAAACATTAGGGCTTTTGACAGACCTAGCAGTGAGAAATTTCATTTTAGTTTCCATGGGAAGAGTCTTGAGACTGAAGGTAAAATTCCAGCTACCTTAGACAGCAGTCTGTGTCTTCTAAAGATGGGGAGTCTGTAATTCAGGTCTGGACTGTATTTATTACAGTTAACACAGACATCGCACAAGCAGTATCTGTACTAAGCCACTGGACAGATGCTAATGATACACTGATCTTTAATGATGCATAGATTGTTATGGCTGTTAGAACACTTTCATTTGTGGTGCACATAGCACATGCCATGCTTGGACCCAACCTTCAAAATTTCTATAGCTCTGCACACTGGCAGCATTAACAGTTCAGATTTTTTTTTTTTCATGGGGCCCCTCTTCACAACAACTTTAGGGAAGAAGGGTTTATGTTTTCAGAACAGGTTTAGGGCAGAGACTTCAGAGGGATTCATACAATGGTTTGTGTTGTGGAAGGGACCTTAAAGCTCATCCAGTTCCAACCCCTGCCATGGGCAGGGACACCTTCCACTAGACCAGGTTGCTCCAAGCCCTGTCCAGCCTGGCCTTGAGCACTGCCAGGGATGGGGCAGCCACAGCTTCTCTGGGCAACCTGTGCCAGGGCCTCGCCATCCTCACAGGGAAGAATTTCTGCCTAAGAGCTCATCTCAATCTCCCCTCTGTCAGGTTAAAGCCATTGCCCCTTGTCCTGTCCCTACAGGCCCTTGTCCAAAGCCCCTCTCCACATTTCTTTTAGGCATCTTGTCATCAAGACAGTTTTGACTCCAGTTACTAAGCTGAAGAAGCCTTCATGAAGGCACTGGTATTCAGGGACAGTCCACAAGCCACTACACCACCTCTTCATTCTAAGAAGTAACTCTCTTTGTAGAAGAAGCTCCCCTGCACGCAGCATTGGCTCCACACAACACAAAGCTAAATTTGGAAACACAAGGCTCACCTGCTGGTTGAAAAGATTCACTCAGCAGCAAAGCATTCCTTACATAAGGAAAAGCCAGCCAGCAACAAAAAAGACAGTACATGCTAATGCTTGAGGTATGCCCTTGCAGATAAACATTAAAAAATACTGTAACTCTTAAATAAGCTACAAGTTTGTCCAATCAAAAGCTTTATTGACCTTCTTGGCAAATTAACTGCAATTTATGATCTTGGTCTCTCCTTCTTGCCCTTGTACAAGGCCAAGAGAGAAACATTGGCTACTTTGACAACCTTGAAGCGAACTCCAGGAATGTCACCAACAGCGTGACCCTTCCGGCCGAAACCAGCAACCAGAACTTCATCGTTCTCCTGCAATCAAAAACGCATAGTTACAAAGCCATGAACATCAAACCAGTGCCTCCTTCTAAAATTGGTAACATTGAACTTGAGTGACTTTCTAAGAAAAGGGTGGAAATACTTAAGGCTGTCAACAGATTTACATAAATTAAGGACGATTATCCCCTTCGGTGTTTTGGAAACACAAGCCAAGACAACTTCTCTGGTGTTTTCATCTGTCTCTGCAGTTACAGCTTTTAAGATGGACAAGATGTAGCATGGCACTACCCACCCACTATATCTTGTCAATTACGCGTTTTTACTGTGTGTTCACTGTGACATGCGCCTTCTTATAGAAGACTTCTGGAAAATAACTCACCTCAATGAAGTTCAGGCACCCATCATTAGGAACAAAAGCAGTTATCTTTTTGCCGTTCTTGATCAGCTGGACTCTAACACACTTCCTGATGGCAGAGTTGGGCTGTTTAGCTTCTACACCACTAAAATGGAAGCACATGGAAATATATTAACAAAGCATCCATATGACAAACCAGCAAACATTCATTACAGAAGCTACTGCATTAATCTGTACTAAATGCAAGTTGCATATGTACTTAAAAAAATATTTAGATTTGTAAGTATGTATTAAATACATTTATATACTCTATAAACCCCAATTCCTAAGCTAAGTAAAAATTTAAAATTAATCACCTACAGACACACGCTAATTCAGTAATTAAAAATCTGGAGGGGAAAATAGAAAAAGACAAGCATCTTTGAGCCCTGGCAATGTCGCAGTGAAGCTTGTAAATTCTGAAAAAAAAAGCCAGAAGACAAGTGGATGGGATCTTTGAGATCAGGCACACACACAAAGTTCCCCCCCTCCCCCCCAATCCTAAACTGAGGCAAAATAAGGGGTTGGAACTGGATGAGCTTTATGCTCCTTTCCAACCCAAACTAGTGGGTGATTCTACAGTAAAAAATAAACACAGCCACGTGGAACAAATAAACCACGTTACAATCTAGGGCACAAGCTAATAGAAACGTGTCACCACACAGGTAACGTTAAAGTTTAGCGGCCGTTCTCGAAGATCCTCCCCAAAAGGCCTCGCTATCCGGGCACATCGGGAGATGCTGCGTCGCTCTACTTACACTTTCTCCAGGACAATGCCCTTGGCGTGGGAGGCGCCGCCGAAGGGGTTGGCCTTCAGCGCCGTGCCCAAGTGCGCCTTCTTGTACTGCTTGTCGTGCCACTTCTGGTCGCGGCGGTGGCTGCGGAGCTTCCGGGCGGTGCGGAGACCTCGGCACTTCCCTGCAGAACAACAACGGATAGGGCTGAGTAGCGCGCACCTCGCTTAACCCTAGCCAGGGCCGGCCACCCAGCGCTGCCTATGTGGGGACAGCCCTCCACTAGGCCCTGCCGCGCTGTGCAGAGTAATGGCGGCGGCGGCGCGGCGGCACGGCCGCGCGTTACAGGGCGCGGGGCCCGGAGCCAGCAGCAGCTCGAGAGGCAGGGAGGCAGAGCGCTGCGAGGCCCTCCGCGGTGCCGCCACCGCGGACCCCTCTCCCGACCGGTCCCATCCCTGCCTGGCCTGAGCCGGGGCGGCTGCCTCACTTACCCATCCTTCCCCCTTGGCTGCCGAGCGCGAAAGAGACTTCGGCTCCCACGCGGCGCTGACTAGTGCGGCCGCGAGGCCCCAACGCGGGCTGCCCGTGCTGCGCCTGACAAAAATTCCCGCAGGCACCGGGAGGGGCGACCCGGCCCGAACCAGCATTACCACGGAGCGATGGCGTGCTCGCTTTCGGGCGGCGGCTGCGGGTGAGGCTCGTCCCGGTCTTGCCGCGGCTGCTCTGGGCGTTACCGACCTTGCTGTGGAGCGGGGCCGGAGCGAAGCAGCGCCGCAGCGCCCTGAGGAACCGCGAGGTCCGGAGGATGCTGAGCTTGCGGTTGGCTTCACCAAACAGTTGCCTAACCAACCCCGTGGCGTCCTGTGATGGAGTTACTGTGTCAGTGGACAAAGTAAGGACGATAGATTCCTGTCTGGACTGGTGCAAAGCCTTTGACAGAGCCCCTACCCAGCATACTTCTGTCTGATTGAATAGATACGGATTTGGTGGATGGACTGTTCGGTGGATGAGGAATTGGCTGGATGGTCGCATCCAGAGGGTAGTGGTCAGTGTCTGGATGGACCAGTGATAAGTGAAGACCTTCAGGTGTTGTTACTGAGACTAACACTGTTTAATATCTTCACCAGTGACACAGATAGTAGGATTGAGTGCATCATCAGCATGTTTGCAGGTGACACGCAAGACCAAGTGGGTCCATTTGCAGTGAAAGAGACCTAGATTAGTGACATGACCAGGAACCAGCCCTCCAGAGGGCTATAGGCTGGTGCATGGGAACAGGTTGTTTCATTTCGTTACATCAGTGCTTCCAAAATTAAACATTTTGGTTTGCCAAGCAGATAAATCCACCCAAATCCCACAATTTCTTTTAAAACTCCCGGTATAATCTGATCTCTGGCACTCCCTGTGGAACCTGATTTCTCTTGTCCTGCAGAGCTGTGAAACAAAAGCTTCAACTTGGAGAGTGAGCTACAGCAACTCACACAGTGTCCCGAGTGGCTGTTGGCCACCACAATCCCCATGCAGCCCTGTCTGCTGGTGTGTGAGGTGCCTTTAGTGTTCCCTTGTGGGACGCTGGCAGCAGGGAGAACAACAAAGAGTAGTTTGCATTCAAAACAGAGAATTAGGGCTTTGTCTGTCTTGTCTGGTACCTCAGAACCTGTGGCTTTCTCTCACTTGAAAGGCAAGTGCTATGTAAAACACAGAACCCCTGGCTGCCACATTCTCCAGGGGAATGAACACACACCAGTGTTGGGACCTCCTCCACAGTGGTAGATCTACTGTGTAATGGAGGCTGCGGGTTTTGTTTGGTTTGTTTTGTTTTGGTGGGGTTTTTTGTCCCTAAAGGCAGACCAGGAATCAGAATCATAGAATCAGTTAGGATGGAAAGGACCTTTAAATCGTTAAGTTCAACCATTTCCCCAGGATTGCCAAAACCACCACTAATCCGTGTCCCTGAGAGCGTCTGCATGGTTTATGAGCACGTACAGGGAAAGAAACTTCATTCTTGGTCCAGTCTCCATCCAGAACATTTGAAGTAGTGCCTGGAGTCTGTATGGAGATTTCTCAGGGTAGGATGGCATCCTTTGGGCTTGTTATGAAGGGTGCAAGGAGTATAAGGGAATCACAGAATCTCAGACTTGTTTGGGTTGAAAGGGATCCTAAAGCTCATCCAGTTCCAACCCCCTGCCACAGGCAGGGACACCTTCCACTAGACCAGGTTGCTCCAAGCCCTTTGCAACCTGGCCTTGAGCACTGCCAGGGAGGGGGTAGCCATAACTTCTCTGAGCAGACTGTGCCAGGGCCTCACCACCCTCACAGAGAAGAACTTCTGCCAAAGAGCTCATCTCAGTCTCTCCTCTGTCAGGTTAAAGCCATTCCCCCTTGTCCTGTCCCTACAGGCCCTTGTCCAAAGCCCCTCTCCAGGTTTCTTGTAGCCCCTTCAGGTGCTGGCAACTGCTCTAAGGTCTCCCCTTAAGGAGCCTTCTCTTCCCCAGGCTGAAGCAGCCCAGCTCTCTCAGCCTGTCTCCAGAGCAGAGCTGCTCCAGCCCTCACAGCATCTCCATGGCCTCCTCTGGACTCACTCCAACAGCTCCACGTCCCTCTTGTGTTGCTGCCCCAGGACTGGATGCAGGACTGAAGGGCGGGTCTCCCCAGAGCACAGCAGAGGGGAGAATCCACCTCCACCCTCCCCCTTGACCTGCTGGAACTTTTGGTTTGGTGCAGCCCAGCACACACATTAAAATGGCAAATATTTACTGTATTCTTATTAGAATGAATTTCCCAGGCCACTTGCCTTGTCTTAGAGGCTGTGCTCCATCTGACATGACTTGTGGATCGGCAAGTACTCTAAAATGAAGGCATGTCTAAATCCATGCATCTCCAGTCATGTGTCACCAGTGGCTGAGGTCTCCTAATGCTCACATCTCCTCTTTAGGGAATTATAAGAGCACTGGTTTGGCTGAAGGAACACCTGTATCAGAGGGGCAGCAAGGAGTCCTGGAGTATATACAAGGAGTATAACAGGTGTTCCATTACAGGGACCTGTCCTGGGTTCAGCAGTAGCAGTCATTTTTCTCCTTCTTAGTAGCTGGTGCTGTGCTGTGTTTTTGACTTTCAGCCGGGGAACAGCACTGATAACACCGATGTTTTTAGTTGTTGCTCAGTAATGTTTAGTCTGACCAAGGACTGTTTGGCCTCATGGTCTGCCAGTGAGGAGGGGCACAAGAAGCTGTGAGGGAGCAGAGACAGGACACCTAACCCAAACTATCCAAGGGGTATTCCATACCACAGCACATCATGCCCAGTGTATAAACTGGGGGGCAGTTACCCGGAAGGCTCAGATTGCTGCTCAGGTCTGGCTGGGTATTGGTCAGCAGGTGGTAAGCAGTTGTATACTTTTCCCTTGTTATTTCCCTTATCATTATCATTATTGGTGGCAGCAGCAGTGGTTTTGCATTATACCTTAGTTACTGGACTGTTCTTATCTCAACCCATGGGAGTTACATTCTTCCAATTCTCTTTCCCATCCCTCTGGGAGCAGGGGAAGGGAGAAGGGAGGAAGTGAGTGAGTGGCTGTGTAGTTCTGAGTTACTGGCTGGGCTTAAACCATGACAGTTCTTTGTGACACAGAACGTGGGGCACGAAGGGTTGAGATAACGACAGATCTGACCAGAGTGTGTCTAGTCGTATTTGTGATAAGCGTTTATTGTTTCAGGTTAATAGTCACTGATTACAATGTTGATTTATTTGCTCTTGGAGTTGTGTTTGGTCTCAGAGTTTCAGCCATTCAGCATGTCGTACCTTACTTACAGCCAGTATTTGCTGTTTTATTTTTTATCAGCTGGGGGGCTCAAGCTAAGGTTATTGTTTTGGTGTACTTCATGGTAATAGCATGTAATACAACAGACTTATTGATCATGAAACCAGGCTGGTATGCATCCTCAGTGTGGTCATCACCTCTATACTGTGGGAGGCATGTAATGGGAGGTTTTAACAGTTACACATCTTTCTTTTTCCTTCCCTCAGGGGGTCAACCTGTGGAGAATTTATTCCCTCACACCCTCTGCTCCCCCACCAGGCTACTTACAGCGGGAGTAGATTCTGGAAGAGTTAAAGATCAGAGTATCCTTTGAATGCTCTTGAAAGCACCCTGCTCCTTTTGCTGGAAACCAGCTTGTTGCTGAATATGATCTCTGTATTTTGCTTGCAGTGCGACCACCCTTAGAAAGCCTGATCTTGTCGGATCTGGAAAGTTAAGCAGGGTCTGACTGAGGTCTTGTCTAGGGTTAAACAACTGTTTAAGAATACTACCAAGAGATCTTCCCTGAGGCTGGACAGTCATGAGGGTGTGTGGGGCAGTATGGGCAAAGACTTAAGCCAGTTTGGAATTTCACTCCTGAACAAATGTGTAATCCGGAAAAATTAGCACACTTAGATGAGGTATGCTGTCATCCTGGCAATACCAGAGAGGGGCAACTCACTGCAATGTGCTGGGGCTTGTCCTACACCTACAGGGCCCTGTTCTGTAAGGAGCAGTAAAAAGATGTCCCTCGATCTGCTGGCAAAGCGTCAGACAACACAGCTACTCAAACCCAAAGCACAGCAGCTACATCAGCCCCAGTGACAAGCACAGCAGCTGGTCAAACCCGACCATAACAGACAACGCAGCTACTCCAGTTCTTAGCACAGCAGCTACACCAGCCCCAGTGACAAGCACAGCAACAACTCAAACCCTGACCACAACAGACAATGCAGCACTCCAACTCCAAGCACAGCAGCTACACCAAACCTGACAACAGGCACTGCAGCCACTCCACCTGGGGGGAGTTAGCTGGAAGGCCCAGATTGCTGCTCAGGTCGAACTGGGTATCAGTGGGCTGGGAGTCAGTCGGCAGGTGGTGAGCGGTTGTATTCTCTTCCCTTGTTATTTCCCTTATCATTATTATTATTGGTGGCAGCAGTAGTGGTTTGTGTCATACCTTAGTTACTGGACTGTTCTCCTCCCCATCCCTCTGGGAGCAAGGGGGTCAGGGGGGAGTGAGCGAGCAGCTGCGTGGTTCTGAGTTACCGTCTGGGTAACTATGACAGGATCCTTCACCAAACCATCCTGCTGGATCGGAGAGCAATGTGACTGACTTGTTCAGGTAAAGACACCAGCAGCATAAGCGGGACCCCTCAGCAGGTCTTCCCACTTTATCTGAATGTGTTATCCACTGCCAGCCACTGCTGGTGTCCATGAAGGACTGACACTGACAGTTTATGGAATAACACTTTTTATTAATATCAAATTAATGTTTTTTTATCAATTTATTAATAATTTTATTTGTCAATATAAATTTATTCTATATATTTTATTATATATTATATATAATTTCTATTATTTATATAATTATTAATTTATTAATAAAAATTAATTTTTATTTTTTAATATAAAATTGTAAGAAAATAAGGTTTGTGATTGCCAGTGATAGGGACTTTCTGCAAAAACAAGCTTGAAGTGATTTACAATAGCATCTGGCATGAGTTATTAGATAGTGCGCATAAGATGAAATTCTTACCCAACAGGCCTCCCTATGGGGGAGAAGACAGGTTCAGACCATCGAGTGATCCCAGAAGT